AATGAAGCAAAATGGTTGTTAGTCTATATTGTTTTATAAAGATGAATCCTGGTAATTTTTCTACAATCAAATGTTTTGATATACCATTCATGGTTCTTCATTGGTAAAATCACTTAAGTCTTAACTGGTTTCTTTGTTTATGTCAGGCTGTTCGAATTTTTCCAAAGCTACCACTTCTTGTAATTCTAGTAGGGTTTTTGGGTTTTGTTTTGTTTTGTTGGGGGGGGCGCTTTTTTGGTATTGGGAATCAAACTCATGACCTCGCCCTTGCCAGGCAGACACTGTGCCACTGAGCTTTATCTGTGGCCCAGGTTCTTGTAATTCTTTATTGAATGGATTCACAATTGCCACTTAAATTCTGCTAGGATAGCTTTTCATATAGTCCCAAATAATAATCACAGGAAAAGAAATGAGTATAAAAACCTAGGGTGCATATTTCCAAATGGCAAATACAGCACTAAGAGTTTCTGTAGGGTTTAAAGAGTGCCAAAGGTTGAGATTGTTTCAGACCTTTTGATATAGGGAAATAAATGTAACTCTCAACCTGCTAAATGTCAGCTATGCCAAGTTCATGTTCCCCAAAACCAAAGAATGAATTCTAAGGAACAACGGAGATTAAGAGCAGGAAAACTTTAGAGACAGATGGCTCCTGAGAGACGGGGGATCTGAAAGTGGTTTGCCAATGAGTCTACTTCTCAAAGGAAGTTTTATACAGCATGGTTTTACAACTATGATTATAGTGTAAATCATCAGGTGGGTACAACGTGGGTCAAAACTGTGATCAACCAATAAGATTGTAAGTATAGCCAGTTAGTAAGTCAAATAGCAAGTGTACATAGAACAAAGACCTTTTTAGGAAGGGATGGGTTGGGGGTCCTGATCACCCACCTGGGTGACTGATACCTATCTAGACTTGCTTGGATCAGGAGATATGTTATTTTATCCCCTCGGATGGTTTGTAGGCCTGGTTATTTTGTCTTTATCTCAAGCCCTGGCCTCCAACCAGTGTGCCTCCTGCACAGTTTTAATGTGTTCTCTTCTGTACTGACTCCCTTGAGGGTCTGTCCAATAATATTTTTACCTAATTTAGCTGTCTATAATACTTTGGCCAAAGAAATAAAATCCATTTCTCCAAATATTTTTGAAAATTATTTGGTGGCCTATACAATGCTTTCAGCTAAACCTTCCTGTGTTCCCTCCCTGTGGCATCAGCTGTCTACATGAATCCTGATGGTGGTGGAGAATGAAGGCCAAGTAGGCATGCACCTATAATCTGTCGTTGGTAATGGGTGAGGAAGTGATTTGTGTAAAAATAAGACCTCGTAAGTGGGGGGTGCAGCTTAGTGGTATCGTGCTTGCCTTGATGACAAGGCCCTGGATTCAAGGGTTCCATGCTGAGAGCCACAAAAAGGAAAAGAAAAATAAGAGTAAATAAAAAGGAGATACCTGATATCAATAAATATTTACTTCAGACTTGAAACACTTTGTTATATACTTCGTTTTGTATATAGTGTAATAAGCTTGAAAATACAATAATAGGGTCATTTGAACTAATTTCCTTTTCTAAGTTTCATTATACAAGTATTAAATGTCTTAAGAATCATTGAGTATAAGTTTTAAAAATTTAGTTTTGTCCTCCTGTCTCTTGTGAATGGTTTTGTTCCTTGGGGTTATAGAGATCTTTCTCATTAAAACAAAAACAACATTTCCATCATGTTTTCACCAACCATACTTACAGAATTCTCCCAAATCTGTTATCTATAACATGTTGGAATTAGAAGGAGAAAAACAATTGTTTTTCTTCTTTTTTCAGTGCTGGGGATTAAACCCAGGGTCTGAAGCATGTTAGGAAAAATTATGAATGCTCGTTTGAAAACAGATGCCTTATATGAAAAAGATAGTCTTACATTAAGTTTTAGGATCAATTATAAAGGACTCAAATCCTTAGCAGGAGTTCAATTCTGTGTTCAACACATATTCTCAGATATTAAAAGCAAGCATGACATGCTTTGATCTTTCAGTTATTTCCTTAGGTACATTATTTTAATTCTCTGCCAACACTGCACCCCTTATGGCTTGCACTAGGGGTCACTGCTTATATTCCTTTCTCTTGGGATGTCTTGCATACAGGGTACCAGGCACTGGAATGGTGTTGATTGTTACAGTGGTCTTCATGTTGAACCCAACGTGGTAGGAAATAGAACAAGAGAATGCTGTTACAGGTAGAAAAAGAACATAATGAAAAAAGGAAAGCCACATTTTGTATACATGCAAAAAGGCAAACACAATGACAAAATGTTTATAATAAGAAAAGCTGTAAAAGAAAGTAGAATCTATTATTAGTATATTTTAAACAATTTTATTTGCCCATAGGAAGTGGGTTAGTTTTTGTTTCCTAGGGTACTGACTAAACTAAAATGACCAGAAGTTCACTTCTAGAATATATTTTTCAGAATATTCTTATTTATTTATTGTTGCAATACTAGGGACCAAATCCAGGTGCTTCCTACCATTGCACTATGTCCCAAGCCCTTTTTATTTTTTATTTTGAGACACAGTCTTGCTAAGTTGCCCAGGCCGACCTCAAAGTTGTGATTCTCCTGCCTCAGCCTCCTGAGTAGCTGGAATTACAGGTGAATACCACCAGGAGATATTCTTCATGTGTATTTGAATATATGCATGAAATCTATCATAGCACATAAAGAACATACATTTAACCAAAAGCAGGGGGAAAAACCATACCTTTGGTACTTAGCCGTCAGAACACATTTGCATTATCAAGTCAGTGTCAGTTTGATACAACTTTTCTTGCTTTGTTAGTAAGAAAATGCATTTATATTTCCATAGCTAAAACAAATATATATTAATTTCTCGGGCAAGCAAGATTCCAGTATTAGAATGCATTTTATACAAATTATTTATAATTAAGGAATAGCACATTACTTAATCTTACAAGGAATTTATGATTGGGATGTAGTATGGCTTGTGTCTAGATGCCCCAGGCCCCAGTCTCATTTGGTCAGACCTAGGGTGTGTGATGCTGGGATTAAGGGTGTGTTACTAAATTCCTCCACTTGGTGTAGTTGGATGTGGATAATGGGAAGGCCCACCTGGGTGTGGGTGGCACCACCCAAAGAGCAAGTAGCCTGGATGGGATAACAGGGAGAGACAGGCTGCTGAGCTGCCTCCTGCCTTCTGCTCAACGTGGACTGTTTCTTTCCTGCGATGCCCCTCACCATGCTACCCTCCCCTGGAGCCAGCCAATGACAAACTCTACAAACTGTGAGCCAAATAAACCTTTGCTCCTTTAACTTTGTTTTTTCTTTCGGAGACAGGGTCTCTATGTAGTTCAGGCTGGCCTTGAGCTCACTTTGTAGTCCAGACTGGTCTCGAACTCACAACGATCCTCCTGCCTCAGCTGCCCAAGTGCTGGGATTACAGGCATGCGCCACCACGCCCGGCCCTGCTTCTTTAACTTTGGGTCTCGGGTATTTTGTCTCAGCAACAAGAAATGTAACCAAGACAGGATCTTCATCAGTAAATACGTATTTCACTAATAAATAGATAATTACTGTTTTGTTGAAGGCACTGGGCTTTTGCTATAAGATTAAGAATATATATTCAACCTCTTTGTCCCATATATAAAATATATTTTTATATAATACATATTAATATATAAATAATATAGAATATATTATATATAAATACGTATATTCTGTCATCCAAACCAAAAGCAGTTTCTCATTAGGCCAGTGTTACAAGTTGTTCAGTTCCCAGGTTCATACCAAGGAAATCTATTTACTATAATTTTAAATGAATTTAAAATTTTTAGTACCATGCTTAGGAGATAAGCCATTCACCATTTTGAAATGTTCCTCTTTTCCTGTAAGAACTGGTTTTTAGTAACAGGACAAGGAACATCAGTCCCTAGGGGCTGGCAACTAGAAAAAGGAAGAACCCCTGAGTGTGTGGGGGAGCACAGGGTGATGGTTTGGGTCTCAAGAGAGACAGTCAGGTCAACAGCAGAGGCGAGCACAGAAGTCCACTGCAGCACCAGATGAGGAAACGGGGACGGAGCGAGAAGCGAGGGCCTCACTGGATAGGCATCCGTAAGAAGTCAAGGTGGTCTTGTTGCTGCTCCCACTCAGTTATTCTGAGAAACTCAACTGTGGTTTAAAGAAAATTGGAAAAATGAAAAGTAACAAAATAATTCGTCGGATCATTATGATTAAGTACTGCCTGTGATAGAAAAATATAGTGAAAAAGAACTGACAGGAAAATTGTTCAGTTCGTGGTTCTGAACATTATATAAGAGTGGCCAAAAGAAGTTTCAGGAAAAATTTTGCTAACGTATTTGCAGCCCCAGTGTAGTTTTGCCTGTGTGTATGAAAAACCTGAGGAAGCAGATTATAGAGGAGAATTTCATCTTAGAAGCTTTTTTTTTTTTTTTTTTTGGTGGTAGTTGGGATTGAGCCCAGGGCCTTGTGCATGCACGGTAAGAACACTACCACTGAGCCACATCCTCAGCCCTTAGAAGAGCATTTCAAACTGAAGCCCATCCAGTTATTAGCTAATGATCCTCCGGCTGGACTTCAAGTATTACCACATCTTCCATGTGACCAGGTGTGTCACACCCAGTATGCTCCTCCTGGGAATGCTGGAATGCTTTAATGTTACTCTATCACTGCTTCCCTGTTCCATGCAACTGTGTCCATATGTCCCAATTTTGGTATCCTAATGAGACATGCTGAAGGTACAGGGAGGGGAAAGATGAAAACTTACATTTCATTATATTAGCAAACCAGTAATACAACATTACACATTTTATTTTTGGTCTTTTTGAGACAGGGTCTCGCTTTGCAGTTCAGGCTGGCCTTGAGCTCACTTTGTAGCCCAGGCTGATCTCGAACTTACAAGGATCCTCCTGCCTCAGCCTTCTGAGGGTCGGGATTACAGGTGTATGCCACCACACCCAGCTCATTTTTTTTTTTAAATTCTAGAAAAAGATCAAAGACCAGAGTCAATTTGACCACCCAACTCCTCTGGACCTAGAACTGCAAATCAGCCTGAGACAATGGACCTGGCAGGATGTCTTCACCTATAGACTTCATCTTGGCACACAAAATTTCAGCTCTGCTGAAACATGCGGCATGTGACTCTCCCTCTCACCTAGGTAATATCTGGCTGGGTTTCTAGAAAAGCAATATGCTAGTATTGTAGAATAATAATATACTTAATGTATTATAACATTTTTATAATATAACATTTATATTATACAGTAATATACATTTGAAGGATATTTTAGTCTATTACTTGTTTTTCAAATATGCCTGAAAAATAAAAAACAAAATATGCCTAAAAAATGTTACACATATTTATAAGTGAAAATATTTAAATGTTATCAAGTACTGGAAAACGTGTTTGATTATTATGGAAATGTAAACTAAAACTCACAAAATATACTACTAAGATCTATACCTCTTACAAAGTATATAAAAAGATCATTTGTTCCCTTCCTTTATCCTGATGGAAGAGCTGGAGAGTTTGAGCTTCAATTTTTTAACAAGTTAGAAAATGGAATCTCTTTACGCTAGCTACCAAATTGAAAGTTCTACTGTTAATCATCTACGTTTTCAAGTCACTAGGTTTCCTAGACACTTGAATGGAATCGGCAGTCATTGATGCAACCCCAACGCCAAGACTAGAACGTCGCAGTGATAGTTCCGAGGCAGAAATCTGGCGCAGTTCTTTGCGGCACAGTTTTACAGGTGTGACACCGTGCAACTGGCTCACGTTTCCTACTGGCTGAATTGGGTATGATGGTCGAGTGTGAGATTTTGTAAGCTGATTTTCATCCATGTCTGTTTTATCTTCATTGCTTAGCAACTGTCCGCTGGAGAGTGGTAAAGAGCTACTAACTGGAGGTAACTCTGAGACATCTTCCCAACACTTCTGAGCATTTGGTTGTGTTTGTAAGCTGCTTGAAGAAGTGTCTACTTCCCTTTCTCTCCCACTTAATTTCATACTTTCAGTTCTGGATGCCCATTGTAATTCCTCTGAAAGCACATGTGCCTTTTCTGGGTTCAGGACTCCACCTGCAGCATGAAGATCTAAAAATAATCCCAAAACTAAAAATTTAGAGGTTATTTTCTCAAAGTCAGATGTTTTAATAATAATCATAATATCCTAATGTAACAATATTACTATCACTCAGTATACATGATATTTTCCAGATACTTTGTTGAACAGATGTATAAATCTGAATTATTTCACTTATGGACATCTTGTATGTGAAGAACTCTGAATTTTAATTTGTGGAACAAAGTTGAGATTTTTGGTACTAGGGATTTTGTTTGGTACTTTCTAGAATCCCAGAAGCACTCTGGGTGTCTCTGGCACCTTTCTAGGTCTGCCCTCTGCTTGGCTTATTGCTAGTGAATTCCAAATACTGGCCAACTGAAGCTAGTTCTGGAGAACACTGGCTCTGCCCTATTATCTCCAGGTATACTTTGGTACTTGGCATGCTATGTATGAAAATCTGGCCTTGCTTGGCCTCCCAGCATGACAGTGGGTTTCTGCTAGCAGATCTACTCTAGGGTGTGTGCCGTACTCTCGGTTTTCCCACCATCAAAACAGAGTTGAAGCATACACCTCAGTGAGAGCGACCCCACTGGGAATGAGTGATTGAGTGAGTAAAAGACATCAAAGCTTGGGCATCCTTAAGTCAAATCTAATATCAAAGATAAAACCCGACTTAATAGGAATCCATGTAGATACTAGATCTAACCTATGAGAAATGCAAACTTTAATATATCTTGATACATGCTTTTTTATACTCTTAATCCTGTGAAGACAAAGTTTAAAAACAGGTTGTACACAGGTAGCCCCCAAGTGAAATCTTGCTCAGATATGTTTTAGTTGGCTTCCAATGTTAATAATACATGACCCAAAAGTTAAAACTTAGAAGGTTTCCTATAAAAATACAGATTTCTAGCTTTTAGAGAAAAATAATAAAAGCTAACAGTTTGTGCATAGAAACAGCAGCTGGTGCGGAGCTGCCTCTACCCATTTAGATGATTCTGCGGGTCCTACTGCCCACTCTGACTTAAGACATAATGGATAATGGATATTCTAGTTTTAAAAATTCCTCAAAAACAAAACAACTGAACTCACAAATGATATGGACCCTAACATGGAACCATACCAGATTCAAAGCTGCCCACAGATGGTGGCTCCCCAATTTTGCTGCACATTAAAGTCACCAGGAAGCTTTAAAAATCCTGCTGAGGTCACAGTGTCTGGTTCCAAAATCAGGCATCTTATTTTTAAAGATCATATGTGGAAGAGCAGAGATGGGCTCACTGCTGAGGCTCACCTCAAGCCCACCTAGAGTCTTCATAATACAAGTTTCCTTCTATAATTTTACAATTTCGGTAGCAAACTAGAGAAAGATTAATTTGCTTGAAGTCACACACCCAGCAAAAGAAGATTTCAGAGCTGGGTGTGTAGCTCAAGGGTAGAGCACTTGCCTAGCACGCCTGAAATCTGGTGTCTAATCCCCATCATTGCAAAAAACCAAACCAAAACAAAACAACAACAAAAACCCCAGGATTTCAACCCAGAAATCAAGATCTGACTCTAGTAACCTTATAGTCTGAGGTAGTGATTTAAATTAATACAAAGATAATTTTAAACAGTGAAACAGAGAAACTGCATGTCCATATAAAGTGATTTTATCCTTACAAAACATATTAGAAAACAAATACTCCATAACGGAGATACAACCACTGAGGGACCAAGATATTATAATTAAAAGATTAATTTTTCTATTTTAAAATGCCAAGAGAAGATAAATACAAGTCTTATAGGCAGACAACAAGAAAACTACTATCAAAACCCAATGAACTGCTGGGAGTGGTGGTGCGCACCTGTAATCTCAGCACTTGCAAGGCTGAGACAGGAGGATTGCCAAGAGTTCAAGGCCAGCCTGGGCTACGTAGTGAGCTAACCCAATGAACTAAAATCTGGGCATGATGGTGTGTGCCTGTGGTCTCAGCTACCACAGAGACTAAGGCCAAAGGATCACAGCTGAGAGCTGGCCAGCTTGGGCAACATAGTGAGACCACATCTCAAAAGCATATACATACAAGCATACAGAAATCCTAAGGAACTGAACACCAAGACAGTTTCATATTAGCTAGGATGTATTAGGGAACTCAGAATTTGATATATATTTTCAATGTGTGTATGTGTTTATTTGAGCGAAGGTCTCAGTATCTAGGCTGGCCTCTACCTCCAGTGACCCTCCTGCCTCAGCCACCTAGGTGCTGGGACTATAGGCATGTGCCATCACACCTGGCCTAAAGTAGCATTTTAAAATAGGATATAATATAAGATATATTCCAAATATGACTGCAAGTGTAAGTTTTAAAACATGAAACTATGAAAAGAATTATGCTAAAAATATGCTTATGAGTGATTTATTTTATTTTTTCCTATATTTTCAAGTTTTTCTATAATACTGTATTAAAATATAAAAATTATTTTTATAGCAAAAGAGTATTTAAAATGTTTCTAGGTAGAAAAACAAATCAGCTGAAATAAAATTCTTCAACAGTATTGTCAGAACTACACTTCTTAGGCAAGTTGGTCAGACAGGTGTTATCCTCACGTTCCACCTCCCAAGACTGCCTTCCAGCTGTCTGTCTATTTTCTTGAAGGGCAAGACGAGAACACAGGTTTCTCTGATTTTTGTACTATCACACCACACTGTCTAAAAGAAATGTCTAGTAGACTCAATAGTATACACACGGGCCATTTACAGACTTGCTGTGTAATTTCAGGTACCTTAACTTTGAAAATGAGTGGGGTTTTCCTGTTGTTTTTTTTTGGCTGGGATTGACCCCTGGGCTTCATACTTAAACATGCACTCTGCCACTGAGATACAACCTCCAGCCTGAAAGTGGGTTTTTAAAAAATGCTAGAATGGTAATGTTCTGATTGTTCTGTTTCTTACTTAACAGTTGTTCACTTTTCAAATTTTGGGACTTGTTTGTTTGTTTGTTTGTTCTTTGAGACAGGTCTTGCTGTGTAGTCCAGGCTGGCCTTGAACTCACTGTGTAACCTAGGCTGGCCTCTAACTTGTGGTGAACCTCCTGCCTCAGCCTCTCAAGTGCTGGGATTACAGGCATGCACCACCATGCCCAGCAACTTTTTAATTTTTGCAAATACTTCTTCAAGAAAAATTTCAACTATGTATTGTAGAAGTATTATAAAGAAATGAGTTATGTTAGTGAGTACCTCTGCGCTCCTCCATTGAGAATCAGAATGCTTAGTCTTCTTCGCAGTGTGTGAATGTTTGCATTATGTCTCTATCCTAAAACATCTCTTACTCTAGAACGCTGGACCAGCGTCAGAAAAGGAGGGACCTTCAACATATTTTAATTATAGTCTGTTCATTGTTACTTGGCCTAAGCTTCAATGCCTTCATGAGAAAATGGGCTCAGCAGATACTGGTCTCCTCTGAGTTTGAAGGTTTAATGAAACTGTTTGTGAAAATGTCTGTACATGATAACTGTAAACATAAGATAGCATAAGATACCTTTATAAAATACTACTGAGTTTTAAATTTTAAAACTATGTTAAATATGTTATATATTCAGCACATATCTTCTCATTGCACATAAGTATATTTTTTTAGCACTGGCAATGGAACCCAAGCCCTTGCACATGCTAGGCAAGTGCTCCACCAGTGAGCTACACCCCTGACTCTTTTTATAGCTTTTTAAAATTTTGAGACAAGAGTCTTGGCTAAGTTGTCAGGCTGGCCTTGAATCTGCAATCCTCCTGCCTCAGGATCCCTAGTGGCTGGGATTATCACTGCACTGGAATAAAGTTTTTTCACTGACCTCTTCATATCTTGCGTGTTCATCTTTAGTTTTCATGAAAGGTACAAATTAGGTCAACTTTTCAGGATCTATAAATTATTAGAAGAATATTCTCCAAAGGAAGGCTAATTCTTCGATAAAATGTAGACTGTGTTATTTTAGAAATATTGCTTCCTGTCTAGTTTGCTTAAAGGGGGTACATTTTAATCATAGCAGCATATTACTTTCATGACACTTCTTTACTTTTACAGAGTATTCTGTAATATTTGCTAATTTCATTTACAAAGGTGCTAATTCCACATATCTATATATAACTATGCAAGGAAAGTCTTTGTCTTAATAATGGGTTTTACTATATTAATTTCCACAGATCATAAGATCTGATTTATCTTAGAAATATATACACTTTTACCAAAAATTTCCATTGCACACCTCTTTTAATGGCAATCAGATGGCTTAGTTTACTATGAAGCAGGAAAACAACAAGTAATTTAAATTATTTTAAGTATTAAATAAGGATTACAAAAGCCATGGACTGCACATATGTAACAATAGATGATCATTTCCTACAGTTTTAGGGAGTTTATAATTTTGTTTATATAGTACTTTGTATTTTACATATTCTAAATATTTTTAGAAAGACAACTGCATTCTTCAACTGTTAAAAAAATAAAAGTTAAGGAGTTTGTAGTGGTGATCTGTGATCAGTGCTAGAAATAAAATGAGTGACTCTGCGGGCACTGTTTACATTCCAGGTGATAACTACACTGCAGAGATTCATGAATCTTTTGGGATACTTCATATTCAGCCACACTGTCCTTTAATTTTCCAATTTGATCTAAATATTTTCTGTGATGAATAGAGCTTTGTCCTCTAGAAAAA